AGAGGGGCGGGGCTGGCCGCTGGCTCATCGTGGGGCTCTGGCGGCCTCGCCGCCCCTTCGGCATCTTTTGAATGGGAGGCTGCGTGGGAGGAACCCGCGCCCGGGGACGCGCGCCTGCCCGCCTGCCTGCCTCGAGTAGCCCAGGTTCTGCGATTCCACAGGCCACGCCCCCGGAGGGCGAGGCCCCGCCCCTCGCCTTAGCCCCGCCCCGAACAAGCGGGGTTCTAAGGTTCGGTTGGCCACGCCCCAGAATGTGGCCCCGCCCATTGGCGGCCGGCCGCGCCCCTGGGCCGAGAAAGCCGTGGGAATGAGCGAGGCCTCAAGTCCTGCTGCGCGCTGTGTTTCCCCGCCCTGCCCTTGGTTTCCTCCTGGCTCGGCGGTCTTCTCACCCTTTCGGACACAGCACCCAAGCTGGGTCCAGCCCCTCGACTTCCCCCACCGCCCCTAAATCCCACAAGCCGTGCTGCCGAGCTGTCACAGCCACACACGATCCTCGTACAAAAGCACGACGCCGGGAGCTGGCCGGAACTGCAAGAGAAAGCTTTCTTCAGTTTTCCTATCCTTTTAAACGAAGAAAGAAAAAATAAAAATATGCCCTGCTTTTGGGCAGAAAGGGAGAGGACAGAGAGTTCCTCCTGAGTCTTCTGTTTCTCATTTTCCTTCAACTTAAAATAATCCTTATGCCAAAGTGGTGTATTTGGGGCTGGTATATTCTGATCCCTTTCAGTTCCCACCACACATAACACTGTTTTTAAAAGTTCCCAAATATTTGTGGAGTTTTATTATATGCTCAGCATTATAGAGTCTTTGGGCCGGATCCAGCTAAGTCTGGGAAGAAAAAGTTTCTCGGTGTCAGACAAGCCCCTCAGTGGATTAGGTGCCCCTTAGATTTGGACAGTTTCTAAATTTACAAGTGCTTCACACACTGTCCTGTCTTCTGTCTGGTCAATACAAACAACTGTACAAGGCAGCCTATTTCTCTTATTTTTATTTTACAGAAAACTGACGTTAGAGTCAGACAACTTGTCCAAAGACACATACACAAAGCATCTGCTAGTGGAGCTGATACTGACGCAGATCTTCACTGGCTGGCAGGCTAAACTGATCCCCATCTTTGTTCCTGATCATTAGTCAGAGGCTTTCAAGGAAAATTACCTCTCCAGTCTAATACTGGTTACTCCTGTAAAAGAACTGGGCTTCTCCCTTGGAAAGCAGGGCCAGATCACTCGTAAGGAAAGGGTGTGGGCTGTTTGGGGCAGGTTCAGCAGGATTTCCTTTCAGTGGTTAGTTTGGTGCCTGTTAGCTTCTGATAATGAATATGTTTGAAAGAGAGCTAATCTGCATCTCATTGAAGACGGCTCCTTCAGATCTATTACCAGGGTCTCTTTTCCCAGAATCTTCCACAAAAGCGGGAAATTTGGCGGGAACACGGGTTGGCTCTAACAGCCATTCTCAATCAACCATCTTCTCCTTTGTCTGCCACCCAGTTTGTTCATTTGTTGCTTTCTGTTTTATATCCCACATATGAGTGAAATCATAGGAGTCTTGACTTTTTCCATGTCATGTTTCCCTTGGCACGATAGTCTCAGAATCCATACATGTTGCAAATGGCAGTATTTCACCTTTTCTTATAGCTGAAGAGTACTCCATTGTTTATCAGATTTAGAATCACTTAGATCCTCTCCCTTTGAATCTAAACTTTCCTTTCAAAACCCCCTAAAACCCCTGTGTCTTTTTCCTCTCGGGAAGTGAGGTTTGGGCTTTCTCCCTGTCTCCTTGGTTGGCTGCCCCTCAAAAATAAACTTTCCTTGTTGCATACTTGCTGCTTTAGTGATTGGTCTTAGTGTATATTGGGCATGTGAACTTGGGTTTGACTGCACGTGCTCCCCTGGAAATCCACTTTCCCTCTATCACTTTAGCTCTGCATCTAGACAGAATGGCAGCGATCACACCTTAACCAGATTCTCTGCCTCTTTAGGGGCATCTCACAATTAGCTATGCCTGCCTTGACCCTGGACAGCTTTTAGGAGCATGTAGAACTTGTGGCTTGGATACAACAGAGTTGTTATGGAATGAATGTTTGTGTCACTCCTCTCCCCAATTCATATGTTGAAAACTCAAGCCCCAATGTGATGGTATTAGGAGGTGGAGGCCTTTGGGAAGTGATTAAATCAGGAGGACAGAGACCTCAAGAGTGGGATTAGTGCCCTTAGTAAAGAGACTCCAGAGCTCCCTTGCCCCTCCCACCACGTGAGGACACAGTGAGAAGATGGCCTTCCATGAACCAGCAAGTGGGTTTTCACCAGACATCAAATATGCTGGAGCCTTGATCTTGGACTCCCAGCCTCCAGAACTGTTAGAAATAAATGTTTGTTGTTTAAGCCACCCAGTCTATGGTATTTTTGTTATAGCAGCCTGAACATACTAAGACAAAATCCATGTTTGAATCCAGGACTCTTTGTGGCTCTGGGGAAGTAGCGTCAGCTCTCTGAACATCAGTTTTCTGAGCTATAAAATGAAGACAATATCTACCTTACAGGGTTTATGTATTTGATGAAAATATGTATAAGCAAAACTTGCATAGTAGGCACTCCATTAAGTGTGACTATGATTATTAAACAGTCATACATGGATTCCTTAATTCACCATTAAGCCCTGGCCAATTGATGAGGAAAGTGGAGCAGGGGCAGGGATGTCCCTCCCTGAAGCTGACTAATGTCCCGCTGAAGACCATGATATTAAACACAGAGAGGCTACTGTGAGCCAAGCCAGGCATTTGTCTTAACTTGTTTGATCATTCAAACAATGCTAAGCAGTAGGTGTTATGCCCTGTTTGGAGGCACATCTGGTTAAGTAACTTGCTTGAGGCCCTCTAACTGGTTAGCATGAGAACTAAAATTCCAGACTGGCTGGTCCCAGCCCTTAGCCTCTTGGCCACTCTCTCCTCCAGCCTCCCCACAGTTCCCCAGGCTCTCAGGGAAAGGTCACCTTCATGTTTGCTGGCTTTCTTTTACCGGCAGAGGGCTGGCTCTAATTGGAAGTTGTTTGTGTCACAATTCAAAGGTTTGGCTATTTAGGCGAGCATAAGACAGTCTTTTATTGCTCATCTGAATTAACCACTGTGGTCTGGAGCTGACGACCCACCCATTTCCACTTCCTAACACCATTTCAAGAATGTTTCTAAAAATGTGCAGTGCAGCCCTTATTCTTGTTTCCCTTCACAGATGTTTTCCCATCACTTGCAGAGTGAGCACTTTTTTTAATAAACTGAAGCCTGAGAGGCAGTTTAGTGGAATGGAGGGTGCAGGGGCTTGGAAGATGAGAGAGCTGAGTTTGTCTCATTCAGCTTCAACTAGCTCTGCAACCTTGGGTAAAATAATTGTAGCTAACACTTACTTGCCCCCTTACTATAACATGTTCTCAAGTTATCCTGGCAGTAATACTTAGAGTGTAGGTCTGCCAGAATTTTTCTGCTCACAAGAAACAGAAGTTGATAGTGAGATTTTATACAAAAGGCTAGAGATAGTTTGTGGAACTGAAAGCTTAAGAATTAGGTTTTGAGGGTACAGAAACCAGGGTAACTTTCGGAATCTAGGCAGCAGGAAGGAATCAACAGCCTCTTCAGTTGGTTGGCCGTTCTCAAAGACTATTTTTAACCCTTTTCCTTGCAGCCTTTGCCTATAGAGGCTGGAAAAATGAAATAGTTTTGCGAGTCTCCCTTTCGGCTAGGGGTGGCCATGAGACACTTCCAGCCAGAAGATATGACCAGAAAATAGCTGGAAGCTTTCCGGGAAAGATTTCACTTTTCTAATAAGAGGGATAGAAATAACAGGAACTTTCCCTTCACCTCCTCTTCCTGCCTTAAACATGTGCAGTACGGGAACTTCTGCAGTCACTTTGTGATCATGAGGGAAAGACCAAGGATATCACAAAAACAGCCACCAAGACGCTGAGCAGCTGAACCAATGCAGCAGCTACCTATCTTCAGACTGTTTATACAAGAGAATCCGACTCTGAGTTGTCTGTTACTTGTAGCCTTCCTGAGAGACAGCTTCAACCAAAAAATAGTTTTCAGTCCTTGTACAACTCCACTCCAGACCTAAATTCCAGGACAAACCTTGCCCATCTTTTGGCTGGAGGAGGGTAGACCACCTTCATTAACAGTCCTACCAAGACTGCACTTACAGGGTGGAAGTAACACCCCAGCAGATAATTAAGGTTTTGTTGTTATCAGAGGGCGGGGGAACAGATGCCAAGTGGCTAAAAATCAAATGTCCATGATGGTGCCGTTGTTACAACTGATGATGACAGAGAGAGTCGGAGTGGTGAAGTAGTATGTGCAAGGCCTCAGAGCTAGTCAGTGACAGAGGCATGGAAAAGGACCCTTTACAACTGTGCTGCAAATGTACTGCATTTAAGTAAAGGTCTGTTGCAGAGAGATCTTATTTTAAACCTAAATTTTAAAAAAATCTCAAAGCTCCTTTATTCACATCATATACACGTTATTTCCATTCCAATCATTCATGTGTTTTTAACTTCTTCTTATAGCTCAGGGAAAAGAGTGGCTTAGTTAACAATTGTCAGTTAACTCTTCTCACTAGAGTTGTCTTGGTCAGGGATGTTTAGTTACAAAGAACAGAAACTTTCTCAAACTAGTTCAAGCAACACAGAAGGTCTGAGGGGGTTATGGTAGGGAGAGACCTTACTGACTTCATGGGCAGTTGCCCAGGCACACAGTCCCAGTCAGTAAAATGGAGAGGGAATGGTCATCTGTAAACACTCTGATGGGTTTGGGTACAGGCAATACTATTGGTAGTTATGGAGAAAAATTAAGTGAATTCATATATATAGTGCTTCAAATAGTGCCTGGCACACAGTAAGCCCTCAAGTTGTGACCACTACTTTCCCTGTTGAAAAATTTAGTGCCAGGTCCCATTTTAGCTACACTGGTAGAATTTATGAATTATAATGCTAAGTTCCACTTCCGGCCATAGCACCGTATCACACCAACACACTTCAGTAAGGGCCACCACAATATTTTAGGTTGACTGACATTGATTTATTTGTAAAACCAACGAACGGGCAGACTGAGTGAGGTGAGTTGAGCCAGCATGAGCACTAGTTGAATATACAGGACCAACATACTGGGGTTGGCTAACTTGCATGTAGCCAATAACAGCAAGGATGGGAATGGCAGCACCCCTAGGGAAGCTCCCCGCTCCACAATCCCAAAATCTTGATTCCCAGTTCAGTGCTCTTACCCTCTGCAGGGTGCATG